GTGTGTGTGTGTGTGTATTTGATGACAAGTGCTTTTATCTGCTGAGCCATTTCACTAGTCTGACCTGAACTTCTGCCTTTACCTCCCAAATGTAGGGTTGTAGGAATGTTCTGCCGTGCCTAGTTAATGCGAAGTATAAACACAGGGTCTTGTGCTTGCGAGACAAGCACTCTACCAACTGACCTACATCTCCAGCACTCAATTTAGCCTTTTAACAACTGAACTTTCTATACCTTTATGTTTGGTTAAAGATATGCCTAATTGACTAGGCATGGTGGCAGACACCTCTAATCTTAGCACTCAGGAGGGAAAGGCAGGTGGATCTCTGTGAGTTCCATGATTCTGCAGAATTGAGAAAGAAGTATAAAACCTCATCAGTAATTACTAAACACATATGTCTTAGGGTTTCTATTGCTGTGAAGAGACACCATGGCCATGACAACTCTTTTTATAAAGGAAACATTTAATTAGGGTGGCTCACTTGCAAGTTGAGAAGTTCAGTCCATTATCATCATGGTGGAGAGCATGGCAGCATTCAGGCAGATGTGGTACTGGAGAAGTAGCTGGGAGCCCTACATCTTGCAGTCAACAGGAAATGATCTGAGACACTGGGTGGTATCCTGAGCATAGGAAGCCTCATAGCCGACTTCCACAGTGACACACTTCCTCCACCAAGGCCATACCCAACAAAGCCGAATCTCCTAATAGTACCACTCCCTATGAGATTATGGGGGGCCAATTACATTCAAACCATTACAACATAGAAGTCATTCCTTTACATAGTTTCATTGAAATGAGGTAAATGAATAAAGCAATCTGATAATGTAATAAAATGCTTACTTACACATTGACAGAAACTATGGAGAGTCTACCAGATGGGTTTTCCTAATTTGTAGTTAACTTACCCTTGAGAACAGAGCAGACTTTCCCTTTGCATTAGCATATATTAATTATACATAATAATGGATTTCCTTATGACATGCTCATTTTGATAATTTTCACCCTGTATTACTCTCTCTTGTATTCCCACTCCCACTGAGCCTCTTCCTCCTTCCAACTAGTCCTACTTCCATGTGAGTGTGTGACAAGAGCTAGGTGTCTTAGTTAGGGTTACTATTGCTATGATGAGACACCATGACCAAAACAACCTGGGGAGGAAAGAATTTATTTGGTTTACACTTCTACATCAAAGGAAGTCAGGACAGGAACTCAAGCTGGGCGGGCGCTGATGCAGAGGAGTGCTACTTACTGGCTTGCTCTCCCTGTCTTGTTCAGTCTGCTTTCTTACAGAACCCAGGACCACCAGCCCAGGGATGGCCCCCACCTACAATGGGCTGGGTCCTCCCACATTAATCACTAATTGAGAATTCCATAGAGACTTTCCTATAGACTTTTTCTCAGCTGAGGTTCCCTCTACCTCTGATGATTCTGGCTTGTGTCAAGTTGCCATAAAACTAGTCAGGCTTTTATATTTCCAAATTGGTTTTATTTTGAATATGTTTTGTATAAGAGCATTGGCTGCTCTTTCAGAGTTCCTGAGTTCAATACCCAGCACCTACATGGTAACTTACAGCCATCTGTACTGGGATCTGATGATCCCTTCTGGCAGACAGGCATACATGCAGACACAGCACTCATACCTAAAAAATAAAATATAAATAAAGATTAGAATAAGAATAAGTAGGGGCCTTGAACTGTGTTTACCAGGAGTCTTTAGTCTGCATCTCTAGAATTGTGAAACTGTATGTTCTTTTGCTCTAGCAGTAAAGAAAATGTAGTATAGCAAAAACATAAATAATTCTAGATTGTAAAATCTCTGTTGAAGGGCTTGTAGGATTGCTCAGTAGGTACAGACACTCATTGCTAAGTTGGATAACCTGAGTTCTGTCTCTGGAAACCATGTGATGGATGGAGAGAACAGACTCCAGAAAGTTGTCCTCCCGTGTGTGTGTGTGTGTGTGTGTGTGTGTGTGTGTCTGTGTGTGTGTGTGTCTGTGTGTGTGTGTGTCTGTGTGTGTGTGTGTAAATGTAGACGTATTTGGGGTATCTACTGATTTGGAAATGTTAGAATCTCAACCTTAAATGACAGATAATGGCTTAGTCACGGAGACTTTAGTGGGATACCCCACGGTGTGGACCAGGACCTGTTGCTGTTTGTTAACTTACCTAGGCACTGAGCTTTGAGATGGAAGACACCAACCTACATTAGTGTGAGTGGAGTAGTTGCTATGTCAAAATCCAACTTCCTGGTAATCTTCACTAATGGTTCATAGAAATCAGCAGAGGTGACATTTGTCACAGTAAAGTCTCCCAAAGCCTAACACTTTCTCACTTTGCTTTGTTTTACAGTGTTTGTTGTAGCTGGTCTTAAGAATTACGACAATTCTTTTCTAGAAAACTCCATACTTCTGTGGTTTGAAATAGTCTCAAGGAAACAAAAGTATTTTTCTTTGACTGTTATACCTAGAAAGGATAGATTTCCCTCTTTTTGTTCATTCTTATTAGGTCTAATATAGCCCAGACTGTCTGTCTTTGAATTCTTGATCCTCCTCCTTTAGCCTTCTTAGTGCTGAATTAGAGGTGTGTACCAATACACTAGGCTTTCTCCACTCTTTTTTTTTAAGACAAATCTTATGCATTTATTTTTTATTTTATATGTATGAGTGTTTTGTCTGTGTATATGTATGCCCTGTGTACGTTCCTGGTGCCTGTGGAGGTCAGAAGAGTGTTGAATCCCCAGAACTGTAGTTACAAATGGTTGGTATTTTAAACCACTGAGTTTTCTCTCCAGCCTCACTTTGCCCCTCTTTTATTTTTCAAATAATTTATGTATTTTATGTGCATTGGTGTCTGTGTGAAGGTGTCAAATCCTCTGCAATTGGAGTTACAGACAGTTTTGAGCTGCCATGTGGGTGCTGGGGACTGAATGTGTGTCCCCTGGAAGAATACCCAATGCTCTTAACTGCCAAGTCATCTGTAGCCCTCCACTTTCCCCCTCTTAACTGCCCCCATTTGAACAGAATACATACAATACAGGCCTGAAGAGGAGGAGAGCACCTTCCATGTCTGGTCTTTTCAGCAGGTTTTTTTTTTTTTTTTTTGTAGCTACTAACAACTTTCATAAAAACTGATGTGCAGTCTGGGTTTAGTGACACGTGACTCTGGTCCCAGCTCTTGGAGGTGGAGAAAGAGGATCTCTAGTTTAGGGCCAGTTTGGGTTACATAGGGGATTATGTCTTTAGACTTAGTTCTCTGAGTATGGGGATTGCACATGTACTACCAAATCCAGCACATGTGGATCTGACATTTTTGTTTTGTTGTTTTTCTTCTGTGGTACCAGTGGTGGGGGGTTGAGGTGGGGAGGTCAAGTCAGAGCTTCATATATGCTCTGCTCTGCAAGTTGTATCTCCAGCTGTGTCTTTTCCTCTTAAACTGGGCATGGTCATGTGCCTGCCTGTGACCCCAGGGCTGTGTGAGGGATGGAGACAGGATTGTTGGGCCTGGTAACCAGCAGCCTGACTAGGTTCATTGTGAAGTCCTATCTCAAAGGGATAAGTCTGAGAGTGAGAATGGTGAGATATACACCTGGAGCCCTCAGACACCAGCAGACGACGTCAGAGTCCTGGAGCTGAAGGTATTCCAGAGGGACAGTTTGATTCCCAGCATGTACATGGCTGCTCATAACCATCTGTAACCCCAGTTCCAGGGGATCTTACACCCTCTTCTGGCCTCCACAGACAACAAACATGCAATTGATGCACAGCATACATGTAGTCAAAACACCAATACACATAAAATAAACAAAACACCAGTACACATAAGATAAACAAAACACCAGTACACATAAAATAAACAAAACACCAGTACACATAAGATAAACAAAACACCAGTACACATAAAATAAACAAAACACCAGTACACATAAGATAAACAAAACACCAGTACACATAAGATAAACAAAACACCAGTACACATAAGATAAACAAAACACTAGTATACATAAGATAAACAAAACACCAGTACACATAAGATAAACAAAACACTAGTATACATAAGATAAACAAAACACCAGTACACATAAAATAAACAAAACAAAGCTGAGTTCTAGGTCATTCAGGATTGTCTTGGGAAATCAAAAACAAATAAAAAAAGCAGAAACAAATTGCTTAGGATCATGAGTTTATAAAGTTGTGTAGTTACTTTTTGAGACAAGTGTATCACTGAGTTGTTGCTTTAACAGTACCCAGTGCTGGGTAATGAATAAAAAGCCTTACTTAGTACACTGTTCTGGGATTGGCCAGCAGGGCATTGGCACCTGCTCAGCTCTGTTTAGGGCTACTTGTTGGATAGCGTCACGTGATAGGAACATGTGAAAGCTTGGTGAAAAATGTATTTTTGTTCTTTTGTTTTTTAGTAAATGAGAATCTTGGTATGTTTCCTAAGGTGGTCCCGAACTTATGGACTCAAGTCCTGCCTGATGCTTCCCTAAGACTGGGGTTACAAGCTTATATGGCTATGTCTAGTGAGAAAAATGCACTTAAAGGGGAGTTAGAGAAGGAGAGAAGGTCCCTTATTTAAAAAAAAAATACTGTCAGGAACTGTACACCACAGGACTTTACTTTTCTCTCAGGGTGCAGCTCCCTTAACCTTGTATTTGATTCATTTTTCAAAAATTCTGCTATCTAAATGTTGCCACAGTGAGGACCAAACACAGCTAAATCACTGCCCCCAAAGTCCTAGGTTTACATTTTGGAATTCTGGTTATTATTTTCAGTCTCTGTGAGTCCTGTAACACAGTCTTAAAATGTACATGTTAATGGAGAATATTGTCTTTGTCCAGGGATGTCACAAGTAACCTGTGCTGGTGCTTTGGACAAAGTTTCACCAAGTGAATAGTGTTTATGGCTTTTCTAGGACTTTTGCAGTTAACTTTTTAAAAATTAGTGAATCTGCTTTTGTACCGTATCAGATGTTAATAAAAGTCGTTTGTTTTATTTTAGTGATGTCCTTGCATTGCCCATTTTTAAGCAAGAAGAGTCAAGCTTGCCTCCTGACAATGAGAACGAAATCCTACCTTTTCAGTATGTTCTCTGCGCTGCCACCTCTCCTGCAGTGAAGCTCCACGATGAAACCTTGACATATCTCAATCAAGGTCAGATGCTTTCTCACCTTTGGTACACTGGAGACTGCTGGCCTTATGATGTGTGTAACTGTAGGTGCTTACATGACAGAGTCACACTAGAGCCTTCTGGGACAATGTGTCACTGACTCCATTGTCTGTCTGTCCATTTCCAATTCGTGATTCTTGGTTGTCCCCATTTGTATTACTCTACCCAGCTCTGCTATTTACCAGTTACATGGCCTTGGATAGGTTGCTTTGATTTTTTGTTTTGCTTTCCTTATCTGTAAAAGTGGGATTGACTATAACTTAGAAAGTTGTATCTATAACTTGTAATAGGATATGAAAGTGCTTAGCACAGTGTCTAACTTCTAGTTGGTACTAATAGTGTTATCGTGTATATTCAACAACTATATTCTTTCTTTCTGAGTCTAGATAAATGAGTTGTGATAGGTGTAATTTATAATTAATTTTCTTCTAGGACAGTCTTATGAAATCCGAATGCTTGACAATAGGAAACTTGGAGAACTTCCAGAAATCAATGGCAAGTTGGTAAAGGTAAAATAAGCAACCTGTTTTTCTGTGTAATAGCTTTTTACTGGTCCTTTTAGTTTTTTCTTTGTTTTTGTTTTTTTGGCAAAGTCTCATTATATACCCTAGGCTGGCCTTGAATTCTGAATCCTGCTCAGCTTAGTAGAGTGTAATGCTGGGATTCCAGGAATGCACCATCATTCATAGATGTTATTTTTTTCCTGTTTCATATTCATTGGATCCTTACAGGCAGGGCTTGATGATATCTTTTGTCTGCCACAGTTGGCTGACTGAGAGATAAACTGATGATCTTTGGGGTCAGATTAAGCCTTGCTGTTCACATGGAGCTTTTAATTAATTGTGGCTGTGTGTGTATACACATACCACAGTTTGAGTGTGGAGGTCAGAGGATTTCTTGAGGGAGTCAGTTTTCTTTCCTACCATGTGGATTCCAGGGACTGAATTCAAGGTTGTTGGTTTTACCTGCTAAACCATCTTTCTGGGCCTCACATGGGTTTCTCATAGTTGCAGAAGGCTTGCAAGTCCTTGTTCAGGAGAGGTTCCTAGTGGAGTCGTTTTTGGATGGTATAAATCAGCTTTTTAAGGATTTTAATTTTAATGATAATTTTGTGTGTGTGGTGCTGGGGATTGAAACCAGGGCCTACTGTATGTTGGACAGGTCTCTGCTACTGAGCTACACGCACCCCAGCTGTTCCTTAAGAGTTAGGTTTTGGCCAGGTGGTGGTAACACATGAGCCAACAGTGTTTCCAGCAGCATGAACAGGATATTGACTTCACTAAACTGAATGCATCATCTAGGACTGTCTACCCAGTGAAGGAGACCATGTCCATAAAATAAAAATTTATAACAAAACCAAAACCCTAATAGCTATTGTTTTCTTTGTCCACTGATGGTAAGGATTTGGAGAACTCACAGTACACTTGGTACAGGAGTTTTATCAGAAGCTGTAAAAGTGTGGGGACAGGACTGGCAGCTCCCTCCACAAAGTAAGGATAGCATAAGGAAAGCTGCTAGTGTTTATAGGTTATGTGTAGGATTAGCAGGTCGATCCTAGTATGTGTTTCATATATACCTGGGGGATTAGGCTGGATTACATGATAAGATAGAAGTACATAGAAACACTTCACAAGGCCTGCAGGATGGCTCAGCAGGCAGAAGTCTGCCATCGGCACCTACATGGTATACGGAATCTGGTGTGCACACACTTCTCTCAGTAAAGAAAGAAAGAAAGTGGGGCGTGTAATAAGAATTACAAAGAGAAAAAGTACTTCACATAATGGTCTGGTGGTTGGAGGACTGGCAGTTCATGACTAGACTGGGCTCACAAAAAAGAGACTTCACTCAGGAGTCCATCAACAATTCAGTTAACTGTAAAGATAGTGAATGATCCATCTCAGCACTTGGGAGGCTGAGGAAGGAGGATCAAGAGTCTGATGCCAGGACTACATGGCTCAGTGGATAAAAGCACTTACTGCCAAACCTGACAGCCTGAGTTTGATTCCCGGGACCCACGTGGTGGAGGGAGAGCAGAGACTCCTTCATCTTGTCCACTGCACATGAGTACTGCGGTGCATCCACAGATGGACACATGTACACCCACCCGTGCACTCACACAGATAAAATAAATATATGTATTTTTAAATGTAAAGTCTGATATTAGTCTGGGCCATGTAGCTTCTAGTCCTCCACCTGCAGAGCAAACACAGAGGTCAAGTGGGAGAACTAAGACTCATGCAGACAGCTTGGAAGTCTTCAAAAGGCACAGACAATTTTACGTTATGTCTAGAAGCCAACTAGCATTAACTCTGCTAGTTTTCTTTTGTCTTAACTGGTTTTCTAGACTCCTGTGGACTGACATTGTCCTTCCTTTAGAGCATATTTCGGGTAGTGTTCCATGACAGGCGACTGCAGTACACTGAGCATCAGCAGCTGGAAGGCTGGAGGTGGAACCGGCCTGGAGACAGGATTCTCGACATAGGTGAGTCAAGAGAAGCTGCTGCTTGGAGAACATCTGTCTGAGTCTAGAGTTGGTTCCCTACCTGAATGATTTACATGCTTCAGAGGCTAAGTTAAGTTAGGAGGGACTCTGAAGTGACTTACTGCTAAGTATAAGAAAACCACTTGTAAGATTACATTAGGATTGAAGTAGGACATGAACATCAACTTGCAAAGCAGTTTTTTCATTGTTCTAAAGTGCTTTTGTTTTGAACTGTGGCAATATGAATTCATATATAATGCCAAATTTCACTTTTCCATTTTAGATAGACAGTTAAATAATATTAAATGCATTTACTTTGTCTAATTATCACTATTATCCATTTGCAGAACTCTTTTTGTCTTGTGAGAATGAAATCTGTACTCTATGTAGTAGCTTTCATTTGGTTTTTCCCCAGCCCGTTAGCCCCTCTCCTGCCTTGTAACTGTCTGCTCCGGGCACCTCATGCAGTATCTGTTCTTTGTGACCTGGCTTCTATGAGTTGACTTTAGCCTTTCAAGGTTCACATGTATAGCATGTGTCAGAATTCCTTTTCAAGGCAGAAGAGTGTCCAGTGTCCACTGCATTCTGTTAACCCACTCACCTGTGAGGACATGGGCAGCTTTTACTGTTGGGCTCTTTTGGATTTTGGATAATGTTCCTGTGCACATGGACATGATAATATTTGTTTGAATCTCTGCTTTGGTTTCTTTTTTGGCTGAAGCAAGATCTTACTCTGTAGCCCAGGCTGGCCTTGAACTCGTGGTGGTCCTCCTGACTGTCTTTGGAGTACACACTACTGATATGAACCACCACACTCAGAGGCTTCTGTTTTCATTACTAAGAAGTGGGAATTTTGGACAATATACCAGTTCTATTTTTAATCTTTTTTTTTTTTTGAGAAATGCCTGTGATGCTTTTTACCAGTAGCATTCAAGTACTCTCTGTTTTGACAATATTTGTAATCTTCTGATTCCAGTTCTCAAAAGGTAGAAGCAGGAGGATTGTGTCTCAAAAAGTTTCATAATTTTTAGCTTGGCAGTAGTGGCACACGCCTTTAATCCCAGCACTCGGGAGGCAGAGGCAGGCGGAGCTCTGTGAGTTTGAGGCCGGGCTGGACCGACAGCCTCCAAAACAATACAGAGAAACCCTGTCTCGTAAAACCAAAAAAAAAAGTTTCATAATTTTTATATTAGAGCTAGTATATAGACTTGTCCCATCACAATCAGTTGCTTTCTTACTTAACACCATGGTGGCCATAGACACAGTGGCACCTGATTATAGTCCGAACTACTCAAGAGGTTGAGGCAGGAAAATTGCTTGAGCCCAGGCAATGCATTGAGACCCCCATCTTAAAAACAAAAACAAGAAGCCCTCAGAATTGTTCAGTGATTCCTATTGTATTTCTCAGATATTCCAATGTCTGTGGGTATAATTGATCCCAGGGCCAATCCTACCCAGCTAAATACAGTGGAGTTTCTGTGGGACCCTGCAAAGAGGACATCTGTGTTTATTCAGGTAAGGCATTGCAGTTGCCATTACAGTTATAAAGAGCACCTGTTACTACCAGTTTGTTTTTTGTTTTTTATATGTATTTATTTATTATGTACACAGTATTGTGTCTGCATGTATCCCTACACATGAGAAGAGGGCACCAGATCTCATTATGAATGGCTGTGAACCACCATGTGGGTGCTGGGAATTGAACTCAAGACCTCTGGAAGAGCAGTCAGTGCTCTTAACCCCTGTACCCTATAAACCTGGTGTGGTGGTGCACACCTCTAATCTTAGCACTTGGGTAGTAGATGTAAGAAGATCAAAGTTACACAGGCAGTCTGAGCTATGTGAGCTATATCTCAAACAGTAAACTAGCAACAATATAGGCAGACGTGGTGGTACATGCCTTTAATTCCGACACTGGCAGATCTCTATGAATTTGAGGCCTGCCTAGTCTACATATCGAGATCCAGGACAGCCAGGGCAACATAGAGAGACTCCCATCTTAAAACAAACAATCAAAACGTTTGTGTGTGCTCAAGTCGTGTGCGTGCACACGCGGAAGAGCATGCATGCTAATCACACATTCTCTCATGGAGCCGTACCCTGGTAGTCAGGGGTCTGGCCTTTCAGGGTCAGGCATTTCCATGTGAAGAGTTCAGGGTTGTAGCCTATCAGGTTCAGACATTTCCATGTGAAGAGTTTTGAATTGTTCTTCTAATTTTATGAAGTTTATTTACTTATAGCTCTCCAGAGTATATATTTCATTCTTTGATCATAGATAATTTGCCTAACAATTATTTGCAGGTAAATTGTCCTATTTTTTGTTGTTATCTATAGTTATTTTGAACATATACATATATATTTAAAGTTTGATTTTTGCATATGTGATTATGTCCTTTGGCTAAATTCCTCAGAATTCTTTTATTTGTAATAATTTAAACCGGTAGTTCATTAAATACATACAATTGAGGCTACTATGTTAATATTTTGTAAACATAAAGACTTTGAAAAATAGTCCTTTGAAACAGGGATAGTCTTTGAATTATTTATTTATTTATTTATTTATTTATTTATTTATTTATTTATTTATTGGTTTTTCGAGACAGGGTTTCTCTGTATTGTTTTGGAGCCTGTCTTGGAACTTGCTTGGTAGACCAGGCTTGGTCTCGAATTCACAGAGATCCACCTGCCTCTGCTTCCCAAGTGCTGGGATTAAAGGTGTGCGCCACCACCGCCCACCCATACTGTATGTTCTTAACAGCTGAGGCAAACGTGTAGCTCCAAGAATAGTTTTTGAGGCCTAGAGTGAGTTGATCCAAGCTACTGAGAGGTCAGCTAGGAGAGCTGCACTTAGGACCCGCAGTCTTAGACTTCAGCAGTAACCAGGCAAATCTTCCCCTATTACATCTGAACTTTCATACTTACTATATTCCTAGCTTGATTGTGCCTCCTTTTAAAATCTAGGTGAAAGTTCACTATCGTTTGCGTAGCCCAGTGTTCTTAGAGGAGTTAATACATTAAATTCCTCAAACAGCCTTTTTTGTTGTTATTCTTGTTTTGATGTCTTTGATGGCGTTAGGTCTATAAGTTTACTTGCTTACATTTGTGAATTACTAATGTTCTAATTTCCTCCACTAGACTGTAAGAAATGAAATGACTTTAATATGTATTGATAAATGCCTACTAAAAGTTTTACCTCTATTGGTTGCTTTAAAACATGGCTGGCTGGTTTGGCTAGTGGCACTGAAGCCTTGGTGTCACTTCCTTCCAGGTGCACTGCATTAGCACAGAGTTCACTATGAGGAAGCATGGTGGAGAAAAGGGGGTGCCATTCCGAGTTCAAATAGACACTTTCAAGGAGAATGAGAATGGGGAATACACGGAGCACTTGCACTCAGCCAGCTGCCAGATCAAGGTCTTCAAGGTATCCTGGGCTATTCACTGGCCTGAAAACCTCTTTTTTCAGGGGAGGGAGGGTTGCAAGAGGGTTTCTCTGTGTAGACTTGGCTGTCCTGGAACTCACTCTATAGACCAGGCTGTTCTCGAACTCAGAGATTCTCCTGCCTCTGCTGGGATTAAAGATATGTGCCACCATGCCCAGCTAAAACCTCTTTCTTTGTCATTCCATTTAACATGAGGTACCAAGGTAGAAAGTCACCTTGTCTGTTTTTGTTTTTTTTGTTTTGTTTTGGTTGGTTTGAGACAAGGTTTCTTTGTGTAGCTTTGGAGCCTGTCAGTGTGTAGATCATGTTGGCCTAACAGAGTGAGTTCACCTGCCTCTACCTCCCAAGTGCTGGAGTTAAAGGCCTGCACTGCCACCACTCAGCCAACTTACCTGGTTTTAAAACTACAAATTGTCTGAGCTAGATGCTGAGGCACCTCTGAAATGCCACTTAAGGTTGTTTACATGGGGATTGGCTTGGCATGGGGTAACAAAAACCTATATAGCAGGCGTCAGGCAGAGCTGGGCTCTCATTAAATCCTGCTGACTTGTGAGTTCTTCTGGTTTCTAAAAATCATATAGAGTTGACTGATTTAGGTACACAGATATTTTGTGTATTATTTTCGTTGTTTTGAGGCAGTCATGAGGCAGAAATAGGTTTTGAGGTAGCCCAGAGTGGCCTCAGATTTGCTAAGTAGCCAAGGATGGCCTTGAATTCCTGATACTTCTGCTTGTGCCTCCAAGTACTGGGACTGTAGTAGGCATGTGCCACAGCTCCCCGCTTTGTCTTTGTTTTTATCAAGTGGATAAACATATTCTCATTGAAAGAAATTCAAGCCAAGTGTGGTGGCTCACCACGCCTGTAGTGTGTCAAGTTCAGGTGAACTAGGTGTACATAGCAAGTTTCTATATCAAAAAACCCAAGAGGGAAGCAGGGAGGGAGGGAAGGATGTTGGGGAGTCAGTGATGTAAAAGTACATGGGGCACTGTACTGTAGTCTCCCTTATTTACTCTTCCTGATTGATTCTCTAACTTCTCTCCAGAGGTAACCATTGTCATAAATTGTTATACATGCTTCTCGTCCCTTTTGTCCTTTTTTGTTTTGTTTTTTTTGTTTGTTTGTTTTGTTTTTCAAGACAGAGTTTCTCTGTGGCTTTGGAGACTGTCCTGAACTAGCTCTGGTAGACCAGGCTGGTCTCAAACTCACAGAGATCCGCCTGCCTCTGCCTCCCTCTGGTGCTGGGATTAAAGGCGTGCACCACCACTGCCCGGCGTCCCTTCTGTTCTTTAATGAATGTGCACCCATAGGTACACTTACATTTTCCTTTCTTTGAAACATAAATGGGAGTATATTGTAGGGGTAGTTTTGAGACTTGAGTTTTTCAGTTAGTATGTACTTTAGTGGTCTTTCTATCTATCAATCTTTCCATCTGCGTCAAACATTTTAATGTCCTATTTTCAGACGGTGAGGGTGATGCACATAGTCTCTACATTACTGTACACACACGTTTTGTTTTGTTTTTCGAGACAGGGTTTCTCTGTGGCTTTGGAGGCTGTCCTGGAATTAGCTCTTGTAGACCAGGCTGGCCTCGAACTCACAGAGATTCGCCTGCTTCAGCCTCCTGAGTGCTCAGATTAAAGGCATGCGCCACCACCGCCCGGCCACACAGGTTTGTTTTATATGTGAATATTTAAGTGTTTTAAAGTAATATTTCTGGGTCAAAGTGTGAGTACTTTAATTTAAAGCAACCTGTTTTCATTTCAGCCTAAAGGTGCAGACAGAAAACAAAAAACAGATAGAGAGAAAATGGAGAAACGCACACCCCATGAAAAAGAAAAATATCAACCTTCATATGAGACAACCATACTCACAGAGGTAAAAGGACTTTTCAGTTCATAATTGTACTGTCATTCATTCATTCATTCATTCTGTGTGCTTGGCATGAGACCTGGGCCTGTTATGTGTTAGGCAAGCTTTCTATTACTGAGCTGCTCCATCCCCATAAGTGTCATTCACAAAAAGAAAAAAAAATTTAAAACATATATTTGTTACATTCCTTTCCAGCCTAGTCTGCACTTCGTCCTGAGCATATTTTCTTGACTGATGAAGATGTGCTCGTGAAGTGAGAATGTTTTAGTGGCACACTGCACTGAAACATGCCTAAGTTCTCCTTTGTTTTTAGTGCTCTCCATGGCCTGAGATCACCTATGTCAACAATTCCCCATCACCTGGCTTCAACAGTTCCCATAGCAGTTTCTCTCTTGGGGAAGGGTAAGTCTAGGAAATGCAATTGGATTATGTTTGGACTAAATATATATTCTTTTATTACACTTCCATCAACAAGTTCTTCCCAAATTATTAAGTGCTTCCCTTTGGTCATTCTTTTGACCAATTTTTGTACTGGTTGAGGTTTGGACTCTCCTAAAAAAGAGATGGGGTTTTAGCTAAGAACCTTGCCCCTCAGGCAGTGTTAGGTACCATCAGGTCGTGTCAGCATCACATGGTGTCAGGTAGCATCAGACATTGGGTAGCATCAGATGGTGTTAGGTAGCATCAGATGGTGTCAGTGACATCAGACAGTGTCAGGGTGGTATCTTCTGTGGGACACCGATAGTTTTGGTTTCTTGATGAACCTTATCCTGTTTGCCTTGTGGTTGTTTCACTTCCTTTTCCACACTTGCCCCAGAGCGTGGGCCTGGGAATTGGAAACACGGCTGTATAGACACTTTTTCCTTGTTAAGAATCCTTGTGAGTTCTGAGGTGTGACTCAATAGTAGAACACTTGACTGTCATGGATCAGGCCTTGGGTTTGAGCTTCAGTATCTCAGTTAAAAAACACATAAAAGAAGGTGCAAACAGTTTGACTGTGATGTTTCTATTTGGACTTGGATTTGTGTGTACTATGTTCAACCTACTTATTTACTTATTTGTTTGGTTTGGTTTGCTTTGCTTTTTGAGACAGTCTCTCTGTGTAGCTTTGGAGCCTGTCCTGGAACTCACTCTGTAGACCAGGCTGGCCTGGAACTCTAAGAGATCTGCCTGCCTCTGCCTCCCAAGTCTGAGCCACCACCACCCAACTCAACCTACTTCTTAAAAGATCTAAAAAGTAACTTAAACATTTGAAAAATAACAACTAAGAACTAATGCCTTTTTTGGTATTGGTTATAAAAGGAATGCATCTGTCTATAACCCTGATGTCATTGCTAAATTTGAATATCAAGCTTAAATTTTTCAGCAGTGACAGAAATAAAGAATAAAAGGGGTTTTTCTGTTTGGGTCTTGCTGTACATTCCAGGCTGGCTTTGAATTATTGTACCCCAGGCTAGCCTGGGGTACACAGCAGTCCTGGGGTTGTAGGCATGGGTTACCATCACCACACCATGTTTTTGTTTGCTTGGATATGGGATCTTAGCTGTGTTTCTAAGCTGGCCTTAAACTCCTGGAGCCAAGCAATCCTCCTGTGTCAGCCTCTCGGGTAGCTGACTACAAGTACTACTACATCTGGCACAGAGGAGCTCTTGAAATAAAGAGGTTCTCATTGTCCTTAAGTGGGTGATGCTGTCTACTTGGAGACAGTTTAAAATAGCTGCAGTTTAAGGGTTGTGTTTTCTGTTGTTTTTTTTTTTTACCCTCAACTTTTTCTCTCATAAAGAAAATAAACATTAAACGAAAGAAACTAAGTGTTGAATCAACTTTAACCATAATGGATTGGGGAGCCCAAGATACCATTCCATTGGTAAGAGTGCTTGCTTCCCATTTGTGAGAATCAGAGCTTGGGTACCTATACCATGAAATCAGCCAGACATCTCACAAACTCCTGTAATTTAGCCCCAAGGAACCCAGTGCTTACTTCTGGCCTCCACATTTAGGTATATGCACCGACACAGATCTTCAAATATACTTTCCACACGTGTGTGTACCTGCAAGCACACACATATGTGTGCATACACACACAGATAGGTAAATAAAGTAAGTAAGTAGATCTGAAATGAATTGGGCCAGTAAATAGCTCAGAGGGTACAGTGCTTGCTTCTCAAGGCCAGTGGTTCTTGGATCCCCAGAACCCATGTAAAGATGGATGGAGAACTGACCGCACAGCGTTGTCACTCCGACATCATATACATACAACAGTAGTAATTATCCAGATTTTAAAAACAAATAAATAGAGTTGGAGAGATGGCTCAGCAGCTCAGAACACTGGCTGCTCTTCTAAAGGACCTAGTTAGGTTCCTAGCACCCACATGGCAGCTCACAAAAATAACTGTCAGAACTGAGGGGTGCTGTGGGATAGCTGTTGCTAGCACATTCAAGGAAGGAACTGGGTTCAACCCCCAGGACAGCAAAATAGTTATTTTGTTGTTGTTGTTGTTTGTTTGTATTTGATTTGTTGTTGTTGTTGTTGTTTTTGAGACAGGGTCTCACTTAGCTTTGGCTAAGCCTAGAACTGGCTTGTAGACCAGGCTGGCCTTGAACTCACAGAGATCCACCTGTCTCTGTCTCCTGAGTGCTAGGGATTAAAGGCATGCCCCCTCATGCTCAGTCAGTATACATTTTTTTCTGATTCTTCTGTGTTGTATGCATGGATGTTGATATGTTTAATATAGGAGTGATGCATAATTATAGCAGTAAAAGTACTAGGACTTTTATATCCTGGTATTTTTTTTTCTTGTGAACTCACAGCCAAATGCAGCCTAGGCAGATGCTTTACTTTCAGCTATATTTCTAGCCACTTACAAATATTTATTATTCCATAATTTAATCTATCAGTTTCTATTTACTGAAATTTTGATCTTTCCTAGTTTCCTTGGTCATAAAAAATGTTTCAGTGACATAGTTTCTCTCCTTCCCTGAAATTTCTGAGTTAATTAGCACACAACTGAAGCCCTGGGTCAAAGAATGTTTTCAGACAAAGGAGAGATTCTTTTAGCTCTCTAATTTAGGAGTTACCGTGACAGTGAAGCATGAGGTAATCTGCAGAGTGTGAGTGTACCATGGACTCATCTTTTCATCTTCAATGTCTCTCCCTAGAAATGGCTCACCAAACCACCAGCCAGAGCCACCCCCTCCAGTCACTGACGTAAGTCTACAGCCAATGTCAGTTATTCGTGATTTGTAGTACTATTGTGGTGACTGCGGTTCTGTCAAATGCCGGTGGACTAGAGACTGTTATCCATCCATTCACTTCATGCTTATAGAATTTCAGCTCAACTGGAAATTATACTAGGGACTGGAAACAAAGACAGAAACAAGCAGGACCTTGGAAGCTGTTTTGTTTGTTTGCTTGTTTTTACTCAGACTTTGACTGTACATCACAGCTGTCCTTAACTCACTGTGCAGCCCCAGCTGACTTAGGATGCAGAGTAATCGTTCTGCCTCAGCCTCTCAAGTGCTGGGGTTGCAGATGTACACTGGCTGTTTTTTCTTCTCTTTTTGTGGATCTCGTTGTGATGCCCAGGGTGGTTTAGTGTGAGCTGTGGCTCATGTGATTTCTCACGTAACTACAGTATAGGATCCCTTGACTAGGAAGAGCTTACAGTCTGATAGTGAAGTTTCTCTGGTGGTTGGAGAAGCCCTGCATGATGTAAACAGTTTCCAGACACTAGCCTGTGTGGTTGTCAGGTATGGAAGTGTTTAGTTATGTTATCTAATGAGGTGGCAGGTGAGCTATTCAGATAGAAAAGAGTGCATTCTCTTTCAGAACCTCTTGCCAACAACCACGCCTCAGGAAGCCCAACAGTGGTTACATCGAAACCGGTTTTCCACATTCACAAGGCTCTTCACCAACTTTTCAGGTTAGATTAGTTTTCCTTTTGCCTTCTCCAGCATGGGGTATTCATGTGCATTGTAGGCCTATTGGTGCCCATATGGCTGTGTGGGGGTGTCTCTGTTTGTTTTTTCTGATGAAGTCAATTTCATCAAACTCCTTAGATTTTCAACTGGCTGCAACTGTACTAGGAGACTCTTAAAAAGAAGTAGCCATAGCACACGCCTTTAATCCCAGCAGTCAGGAGGCAGAGACAGTCAGATCTCTGTGAGTTCCAGGCCAGCCTGATCTACTGAGTGAGTTCCACAACAGCCTCTAAAGCTACACAGAGAAACCCTGTCTCAAAAAAAAAAAAAAAAAAAAAAAAAGAAAGAAAGAGAGGAGGAGGAGGAGCAGCGGCTTTTAGCTGAACTTTAAAATGTTTATTCTATATAGCATTTCTAAAATGTGTATTCCGTGTACTACTTTTACCAAGGTTTGCTCACAAACAGACTGTATGTATTACTTGCACAATGTGATTTTATGAAGCCTGTGTGTACATCTGTGTAGAAATATACAATTGATAAGATGTCTTGATGAGAGCGCTCTTTCATAATCTGTGTAAAAGAAAAATCCAACAGAATGGAACCTACTGGATAAGTACTACGCAGAGTGTGTGGAGTGGAGCTGGAGAGGGCCTGATGTGAGTCTGTCAGACTGTGGAAGGGTGTTTCTGACAGGAAAAGCAACTGCCCCACTCGGCAGCCTCCGTCTGATGAAAGCATAGGGCGAAGTGGAGAAGTTAATTGGATGAGAATTGAGACAGAAGATGAGGCAAAGGCCAAGTCACACACAGGGCTTTGTCTTCTGTAGAAGACTGTGACAGACTGCTGGTGAGGTGTCCTCGAAGTGGAGCCCGTTTTAAAAATCACTTGTGAAAATAACTTTTGTCTTATCATTAACCATGTTTTCCCTCTTTATTCCAGGGGCAGATTTATTGAAACTAACAAGAGATGATGTGATCCAAATCTGCGGCCCTGCAGATGGAATCAGACTTTTTAATGCATTAAAAGGCCGGTATGTAGTTTTAAGATACTAATGGTTAAAATACCAGTGAGATTGTATTTCAGATGAATTTACATTCTGGAAATTTTCACAATACTCTACACATATAAGTAAGTCTTGTCAAAACATTAAAAAAAAATTCTAGTCATGGGCCAGTAAACTCAATAGGTTGTTCTTTGACCTCCACCCTCCATATGCACCCTGATATGTGCCCAGAATACAGACATACAGACATACACACACACACACACACACACACACACACCCTGAGCATGAGCGCATGCTAACTAAATAAATGTTTTGGGTTTTTATCCTTTTTAAAGAAAAACTTTGTAAAAAAAAATCCCCATATGTACTAATAAACACAAATGAAAAATATCATTTCTTACATTTGCTCCAAAGAACGCCTTGTGATAGCCAGTTCTCATTTCCAGGTCTTCTAACCAGGTAAATAGTTACTGTCTTTATAATAAGATAGGTTGGCTCTGGAGGTACATTGGTGACAATGTATCCATAAAGAAAAACAGTATTTTAGATAGTGCTAAGAGCTTTGAAGGGAACCATACAGACAAACTGGGTGTGACTCAGTCCATAATTCTAGTACCTAAGAGGTTGAGGCAGGAAGATCAAGAGCCCAAAGCCATCCTTGACTTTGTAGCAGCTTCAAAGTTAACTTGGACTACTAGAGACCCGTCTCAACAAAACAAACACAAAGCACATTTGTGGTCTATAGAATACCTTGATGTAGACAGAAAAGATATCTGTGAAAGGTGTGTGTGTGTGTGTGTGTGTGTGTGTGTGTGTGTGTGTGTGTGTGTGTTCCAGTCTATGTAGTGAGACCCTGTGTCAAAAGAAAAAAAAAAAAGAATAATTGTAATTCTTTTTGAGATTCTGTGTGTGTGTGTGTGTGTGTGTGTGTGTGTGTGTGTGTGTGTGTTGGTGTTTTATTTTTTGTTTTTAAATGTTTCTTTTTTTTTAATTTTTGAGACAGGGTCTGTCTACATAGCCCAGGCTGGATTTGAATTTGCTGTGTAGCCTAGGTTAGCCTTGGACTCAGAACTTCCAGACCCAACCACTTAGGTGCTGGAATTACAGGCATGTATTACCATGTTTGGTTTAGTACTCATAACTGATAGGTAGGAAATTAGATCATTGACAACAGAACAAAATCAGTGAATAAATAAATTGTGAAGGACTTGTATTTATATACCTCACAAACATACTGCATCGAATTGAATCTTGTTTTTAACACATGATCTTATGTATCACAGGTTGGCCTCATACTCTGTATGTAGCTGAGGATAAAGCTTTGAGTTCGTGGTCTTCCTTTCTTATCTCCTGATACTAAAGTTAAAGGAGTGTGTTACCCTCCACCATGGCAGTATTGGGAACTGAAAGGAAAAGTGGCTTATTAGGTTTCTATCGTTGTGAAGAGACACCATGACCACAGCAAGTCTTATAAAGGAAAAATATATAATTAGGGCAGCTGACTTCGAGTTTCAGAGGTTCAGTTTGTTATCATCATAGCAGGGAGCATGGCAGAGTACATGCAGACATGATGCTGGAGAAGTAGCTCAGAGTCCTACATCTTGTAGGGAACAGGAAGCCTGAGCAAGAAACCTCAAAGCTTGCTCCCACAGTGACAGACTTCCTTTAACAAGGCCATGCCTCCTAATAGTGCCACTCCTTTTGGGGGGCATTTTCTTTCAAATCACCACAGGAAGAGATAAAAAATCTAGGGTTAGGGTCTTGGGGGATGGCTCAGAGTTCAGAATGCTTTCTGCTCTTCTAGAAAACCTCTGTTTGGTTCTCAGCACTCACATTGGGTGGCTCACAATTACCTGGAACTCCAGCTCCAGGAGATGTGAAGCCCTCTTTTGGCCTTTGTTGGCATAGAGGTACACACACAGGCACGCACGCACACACGCACGCACATGTACACACACACACAGGCACACACACAAATAACTTCTCATTTTTAATTCAAGAATGGGGTTGGAGAGATGGCTTAGTGGTTAGAAATCCAAGGGTTAGTGACCTAAGGAAAGGAGACCTTCCAAAGGCTAGGGCTGTAGCTCAGTAGGAAAGCTTTTGCTCTCATGTGCAAAGCCCTGGACCCAATCTCTGGTGCCAGAAGAACAAATATAATAGATAATAGAAGTAAGAATTTAAGTTAGTAACAGATCTTTAAGGGTGTTTGTTATCTAGGGAGTATTTAAAAATGGAAAAAAAGCACGGTGACCAGATGAAGAAGCGCGGAGAGAGTAAGTGGACTGGGAGACAGTAGGCTGCTCGGGCAGGCGCTGAGGGAGATCAGATCATCCACTTTGCTGTGCTAGCCTGCCTGCCTGCCTTCCTTTCTGCCTTCCTTCCTTTCTTCCTTTGCTAGCTGAGCCATCTTGCCTGCCTCCTATTAGTATTTTTAAGTAAACAGCATATCTAGAACCTGACCCTTATATTAAGCAGTACCTCTCGAATTTTCAATATTTCTCTATAACTCCAAATCTCACAAACTCCATTGACTACAGGAACTCCATGGTCATGTAAAGGACCAATAGTCAAAGTTAGGGTTTAGTGAAGAGATCTTGGGGGAATGAGGACCCTGAGTTACCAGGTCTAAGCTAGCATTAGTGTTCTCTTCCCCTCTCTCCCTACTGCTCTTCTACCCTTCCTGTTTCAGTGCTGAGAATGGAATCTGGCGCCCTAAGCCTACCAGGCTACCAGTCTACTGTGGACCCCAGGCCCAGCCTCTCACCTAACTTTTCAGGGAAAGCAGAATTTAGAAGCTTAAATGACACCTACTGTTGTAACCAATAAGCTTAAACAACAACGCCCACCATTGAGAGATAGGAAACAAGTAGCATTAATAGATTTCATATCGCTCTCTACAGTGATGTAGAGACAAACCCTACCTGTGGATGTGCTTACCATGGGAAAACATTGTAAAGATGACCATCCTTTTTCTTCCCACACAGGATGGTGCGTCCAAGGCTAACCATTTATGTCTGTCAGGAATCAGTGCAGCTGAGGGAGCAGCAGCAGCAGCAGCCGCCCCCGCCGCCGCCACAACAGAAGCAGGAAGATGGCGATTCGAATGGTACTTTCTTCGGTAGGTTGTTCTGGGCAGACCAGGACAGGTAGGAAAAAAGGAGAAGAAAGGATTCATGGGCAGGTGTGATGGGAGTTCAGACCAGTTCAGCATTAGAGTTCTAGTAGTAATGGCAATTGCTCACATTTTACTCAGCTCTTAACCTATGCCACCTGCTAGTATCAGTACTTTATATATACTTGAATTCTTAAAACTAGTGATGGCCATAGTGCTGTAGACTGTCTGCTCTCCGGTCTTTAGAAGAGGGAAGGGACTAGGTTTGTTGAGTAATTTTTCCCAGTTCACACTGAAAAAGAGATAGCTGAGGCAGGACATGAAGCCAGGCTTTGTGACTTATGAGTTTCTACAACATGAACACATCACCTGCAGATGCAGACAGCCTCTGGCTGACTGTTATACCTTCTTTTGCAGTGTACCATGCTATCTATCTAGAAGAACTGACAGCTGTTGAATTAACAGAAAAAATTGCCCAGCTTTTCAGTATTTCTCCTCACCAGATCAGCCAAATTTACAAGCAAGGGCCAACAGGAATCCATGTGCTCATCAGTGACGAGGTCAGTTTCTCAGTCCTATTGAATTACCGTTGTGTGCTCTGGTGTGTTAGGGTACATGGCAGGTTCAAGAGTGCTCTGCCAGGGTTGAATTCGGTTTCCTACAGAGAGATTTTTTGTTTTGTTTTGGTTTTTGGTTTTTCGAGACAGGTTTCTCCGTGGCTTTGGAGGCTGTCCTGGAACTAGCTCTTGTAGACCAGGCTGGTCTTGAACTCACAGAGATCCACCTGCCTCTGTCTCCCACGAGTGTTGGGACTAAGGCGTGCGCCACCGATGCCCAGCCAGAGAGGTTTAACTTTTTTTTTTAAGATTTATTTATTTATTTATTATGAATGCAACATCCTGCCTCCATGTACGTCTACATATCAAAAGAGGACACCAGATCTCATTATGGATGGTTGTGAGCCACCACGTGGTTGCTGAGAATTGAACTCAGGACCTCTGGAAGAGCAGTCAGTGCTCTTAACCTCTGAGCCATCTCTCCAGCCCTGAGGTTTAACTTTTTAATCATAACAAATTTTGCTATTTTGGCCTGACAGACCCTGAACTTGTGTGTTCACATGATCTTCCTGCCTCAGTGTCCTGAGTGTCTGGGACTATTGGCAGGAACCACTGCATCTGGCTTAGATTTTACTGTTTGCTTACCTCCTAATTTTTAAAACTTATGTATAAAGTGCTGTAGCTCCAGTACAAAGAGAAGTGGAAGCAGGAAAATCATGAATTTAAGTTCACCTCTGACTGTGTAGTAAGTTCAAGACCCACCTGGCCTAGGCAAAACCAAAAACGGGTGAAGTAGAGGCGGCTTAGCAGTTATGAATGCCTTTTGCACAAGGAAGAGGACAAGAGTTCAGATCCCAGCTCCATGTTTTTTTGTTTTGTTTTAAAGATGTATGTGGTCCCCACATGTGCCTGTAACCCCAGCACAGGAAGGAAGATCACTGGAGCTTGCACTCTGCCAGCCTAACTGATGGGGCTAGATCGGGAGTGAGCTCCATGTTCAATGACATAGCTGCTTTAAATAAAAACAAGGTGGACAGTGATAGAGGACACCTAATATTCGAGTGTGGCCTCTGGGTGTGATTGTATACTTATATATCTGTGCATATATACCACATATACCACACATACACCTCATACACGTATAAACAAAACTATATGTATCCTTTGCACATTTTAGGTCAGTTTTTAAAAGTTTGAACAATTGAGGAAATGTGTCACTCGTAGACACACAGCATTTTAACATGAGATGGTGGGTAGGGAGATGCTCAGTTGGTGAAGAGCTGGCTGTGCAGATGTAAGGACCTGAATTAGGATCCCTACCACTCAGGTAGAAAGCCAGTCATGGCAGCGTGTGCCTATAATCCCAGCACTAAGGAGGCAGAGAGAGATTGTCTCAAAAAGATGAAAAGCAATTTAGGAAGACAGCAGATGTTAACCTCTGACTTCCACATGTGTATGCTCAGGCACCACCCCCGCAGACACACAGAATGGTTAGTCTGGGAGAGAAGATGCTTCTTACCATTCCAACATCTGGAAGGTAGAGGCAGGAGTGTTAGGCGTTCAGTGTCATCCCTGGCCATTTCAGTGCCAACCTGAGGGAGAGGAAGAGAGAGATTGATATTATTCTGATTACATTCTTTTTAACCCAAATACAGGTCTTTGCTTTTTCCCAGCACTGGAACTGAAATCAAAATGACAAGAGTACTTTAGAGAGATGGCTCAGTGGTTAAGAGGCCCAGGTCTGATTCCCAGCACCCACATGGTGGCTCACAACTGTCTATAACTCCAATTCCAGAAAATCTGATACCCTTTTCTGACACCCATGGGCACCAGGCAGACACATGATGCATACATGTATGTGGCAGGCAAAGCATTCATACACATAAAATAAAAATTTTTTAATTATTTAATACAATTATTCATTTAAAAGTACAAGTATGCATTGTGTGTGTGTGTGTGTGTATGTGTGCCTGCCTGTGTGTGTACCCATGTGTGTGTATGAGTGTGTGTGCACATGGAGGTCAGATCTTCTGGAGCTGCTGCTATAGGTGATTGTGAGCTGCCTGATAGTGGTAGGAACCGAACCTGAGTCCTCTGGAAGAACAATAACCACTTAACCACTCCCTAGCCCCTCCCATAGTTTTTAAATTTACATTTTATGACTGAAAATCCCCTTATTTGTCCTGCTGTGATTACTTGAAGCAAAAATTTGTTTCAGCCAAATAACTTGATTCAATGAAAGTTGAAAACTAGCTTTTTCTGAATAGAATTATCATCACACAGAGATGATCAAAAGTAACAAGTTGGTATTTATAAAACATCAAGTTAAAGAGTTGAGGTATAGCTCAGAAGTAAACATGCTTAGCACATACAAAGCATTGGGTTTAATCCTTAACACCTCAAAAGAGGAGACGAAAAAGAAAAGAAATTAGATATGCTATCTCTGGTGTGGGTTTGGTTAGTTTCTCATGTATGGCAGGCTGGCTTCAAACTTACCGTGCCCTTAAAGATGATCATGAACTCCTCCTGCCCTCATCTTCCAAGTGTAGTGATTACAGTGTGCACTAACATGCTCAGTGGATGCAGTGCTGAGGTCAAACCTAGGGAGGGCTTAATGCTTGAAGACCACTACTGTGCCAACTAGACCTCATCCCAGCCTCTAGTCATACATCTATTAGAGAAATGGATGGAACCACTCAATTAATTCCCTTTGCCCATGCTAGCCATGGTTAATTAATCTGTGGTTGAGTGCTGCCCCCTAATTGTGAAGATGGCACACAATCCAGCACCAGTTCAGTCTCAGTCCTCTTAGAAGGAAGTACAGTAAACCTGATTTTCCAAAATGGATAGATAGGGATGGACGGGAGGTGAATCTGTAGTGTAATGGGTAGCTCATTGGAACTTGTAGAGGCAGGAATGGATGGGTTTTGCTGTAATAATCTCTGATTTTGTTTTAATTTTTGAACTTCTAGTTATGTACCAAAAATTACATAATGTTGTTGCCTCAAGTCATCCATCTTTTAACAAATGTGATTGAGTCACTCGAGTTAGACACTGTGATAATAACATGTGGAGGTTTGACAAAGGTGTATGGAAGCTGGAGATCCAGGAGTCGGGTCCTCTATATGCTTGTGTCCTTGTACCTCCTGTGAGGTCTTGGGGTTCATCCTAGGAAGTATATGTTCCACTTTTAAAACCATTGTTCAGCCCAGTGTTGGTGTTGCACGCCTTTAATCCCAGCACTCAGGAAACAGAGGCAGGTGGGATCTCTGTGAGTTTGAGGCCAGCCTGGTTTACAGAGCAAGTTCTGGGACAGCCAAGACTACACAGAAAAACCCTGTCTTGCCGGGTAGTGGTGGCGTACGCCTTTAATCCCAGCACTCCGGAGGCAGAGGCAGGCAGATCTCTGTGAGTTCGAGGCCAGGCTGGACCGACAGCCTCCGAAACAATACAGAGAAACCCTGTCTCGTAAAACCAAAAAAAAAAAAAAAAAAAAAAGCCCTGTCTTGAAAAAAACAAAAGAATTCTTCATCATCATCATCATCTGGTTCCTTTGGTTGTGCTGCTCAAACCCTTCTGAGGTGCCTGCTGGGATCACTTTATAGAGCTTGTTTGGGGCAGCTGCTGCTCTGGGTTGCTTATAGGATAATCTTAAGTTTCTTTAAGGCTGTGGAACAAAAAGTGGTCTAATCTGAGGTATAAGTCAAGTACATTTTTTTTTCTATGACTTGTTCAGCATTACATTTTCTAAAATGCTTTGTTTCTTTTTGTTTTGGAAGGAAGTCCCTAGTAAAGTTTTTTTAGTTTAAATATATACTAGTTTGTAGAGTTGTAATTTATTTTGAAAAATTCTTATATTCATTTCAGATGTTGCAATACTTCCTAAAGTAAGCAGTATGAGGGGATATTCAGAGTTAGTTGTTCTGGCTGAGGGAATTTATGGACTCTGATTTAAAGCTTGTTGACTAGTGGATGTCTTTGAACTAACTAACTAGAGCTGCAGTGTTATTCTTACACTTCACAAACTTAGTTGTAAATGTAAAGTTCTTACACTATTCAGAAGCTTAATCTCTACTTCAGTCCAATGTCATGAAAAGCCATACAAAGTAAACACTGCTCACCAAGGTGTTAATGATCAGAAATCTTGTTGCTTTTGTCAGATGATACAGAACTTTCAGGAAGAAGCCTGTTTTATTCTGGACACATTGAAAGGTAATAAAATAGTAAGCCATACTTTAACACTTATTGTCTGCTTGTGTGTATGTGAGGTGGGTTATCATGTGCCATGACACACACAGGTCAGAAGACAACCTGTGGAAGTTGGTTCTGTCCTTCCACCTTGTGGGTCCCAGGAACCAAACTCAGGTCGTTAGATTTGGCAGCAAGTACCTTTACCCCATGGAATCTTATTGCCAACCCAAGATAAATAACTTTATAAGAGAGTGAGTGCATGCACCTGGATGTGTGGAGGCCAGAGGACTGTCTCAGGTATTATTACCTGGGCACTTCTTTTAAATTTATTTTTCATTTTGATACAAAGCTATTAAATTATATTTAAAGTTTTATTTTTATGTGTATAGCTGTTTTGTCTGCATGTATATCTGTGTACCACGTGTGTGGCAGTGCCCTGACAGGCCAGAAAAGGGCCTAGATACCCTGGATGAGAGTTATAAATATGGAGCATATAAGGGCTATAGGATGGCATCCAGCCTGATGACCAGTGTTCAGTCTAGAACTCACATGGTGAAAGGGAAGAACCAATTCCCACAAATTTCTTCTGACCTCCAAGTGTGTGCATGCCATGGCATACCCCCAAAATAAATAACTATAAATATCTGTAAAGCATTTAATATGCCTCGTGTTTCTAACTTTATTGCTTTGCAACATAATACATTGTAGGATAGCAATGTTTCAACTTGGTGAGCTTGTATCTGATGTAAACTATTTGTTGCTGCTGCATACTGTCATAAGAGAGCATCATTCTGTTTATCTCTGGCCCAGGAATGGTAGAAGATTGATGTCTTTATTCTACTGCTTCTGCCTCCTGTGTTGTGGGCTCATTGGTGTGTTCCACCACACCATTTGACTCTGTATTCCCTCTCACAGGATTGTTTTTTTGTTTGTTTGCTTGTTTGTTTGTTTTTCCTTAGTGTTCTAAATGTGGCTAAAGATCACCCTGTCTCACCAGGCAGTGCTTTGACACACCTTTAATCCCAGTACTGGGGAGGCAGAGGTAGGTGGATCTCTGTGAATTCAAGGCCAGCCTGGTTTACAGAGTGAGTTCCAGAACGGCCAGGACTACACAGAGAAACCCTGTCTCAAAAAAGCAGCAACAACAATAGATCACTCCTTCTCTCTCCCATCTGTTTTACAGCAGAAACCAGTGATAGCTATCACATCATTCTGAAATAGGAGTATTCCACATTTGCTGGCTGCTGCTTTCTTCCTCTGATGGATGCCCTTTTGAAGGGGACATGACTGAAGATTGAAGGTCTTCTGGAACCCAGCTTATATGAATGTTGAGGGGTGTGTGCTGGGCAACCAGGCCCTAAAGTGGAATCCCAGTCCCCTGTATTGGCCCGAGGTGTATGGCACCCTCAGATCCCGCCAAACGTGGAATTCAGCAACAATCTGTTTAGTTTCTGGCCTTTGTTGGATACCAGTGTGAACTCCCATCATTAGGGTGCACAGAGGGTTGAGTGATAATGGGAGTGGTATGATGTTTGATCAAAGGATCTTTAATTTTGTGACATATAGCTCTTGCCATTTTTCTTTTTTAGTTATTTTTTGTTTGTTTTATTTTTGTTGTGTTTGAGACAGGCTTTCTCTGTGTAACAGCCCTGGCTGTCCTGGAACTTACTCTGTAGACCAGGCTGGCCTCGAACTCACAGAGATCCACCTGCCTCTGCCTCCCAAGTGCTGGTATTAGAGGTGTGCGCCACCACCGCCCCGCCATTGTTTTAGTATAAAAGTGAACATCTATATTCATAAAGCTAAGTTATCAGTCTCTTTTGTATCAAACTTATTGTCATGCTTTATTCACCTTTTGTGTGTGTGACAACAACTTCAGTGAGAAGAAATAGAGAAGTTTTTTTTTTTTTTTTTTTTTTGAGACAGGGTTTCATGACTATGTCTCTACCTCCCAAGTGCTGATATTACAAGCGTTTGCCACCTTGCCTGTTTCTATAGTGCTGGACTTGAACCCAGAGCCTCATGTGTGCTAGGCAAGCACTCCTCCAACTGAGCTCCAGCAGGCCCTTCCCTGTTATGTTAGGACAGAGTCTTGGGATTTTTTATTTTGGTTCACCTGCAGTACCACAACTGAGAGTGATTTTGGCTAATATTTATTGAGGTAGATAGAGTGATAAATTCTGTAGATGGATTATCTTGCTTTCATCCTCTTGATAAATCCATAATAACTAGGGGAAAGAGTGACCCCCTAAATGAAGATAAGGAAGCACTGACAGAGTGGTATAGCTTGCTAGGGGACAGGCCCCTACCAGGCGTGGCATTCTGGGACCCTTATAACTCCATGTCTCATATCACTCTTTGTTGCCTGTGCTCACTCTCATCTTTTACTGGACTACGCTGGAAACTGATGAGTTAGCTACTGAAGAAGGGAGAGCATACTTAAGTGATGATAATCAAGACCTACAAACCAAACACACGCCTGCTCAGTGTCACCTCCAACCTCAAGCACAGAGCTGGAGGTGGGAGTGGCCACGGTGTCTTTAATCCTAGAGCTCGTTGTTCTTGAATGATACTCTCAGTGTGTTTTTAAGTGAGTTATTCCAACCCCTCTTTCCCCTCCCGTGGCCTATTGTGGCATAGTGTTTTACAAAATATATCTATCTATATATATATATATACACATTCTTTTCCCATTCAAACTCACACCGTGTTTATATTCTGCCTTCCAAGTGACTGTCTGTGTGTATGTGCACAATTGTAAAGCATTATGAGTTTTTGTTTTTCACATGTAATGTTTTTTGTTTGTGTGCTTGTTTTGTTTTTTGAGACAAGGGTTTCTCTGTGTAACAGCCTTGGCTGTCCTGAAGCTCACTCTGTAGATCAGGCTGGCCTTGAATTCACAGAGATCTGTCTGTCTCTGCCCCCAGTGCTGAGATTAAAGGTGTGCCTCTCCATTACCTGGCCACATATAAATTTTTATCCAGAAATTTCCTTGGATTTTGTTGATACGAACAAAGAAGATGTTAAAAGATTCTGTGTTGGATTGCAATTTATGTGTGTTTTAAAGCATTTGATAAAGTTTACTTTTTTATATATACAGAGTTTTGTGGTGTTGTTCATGTTCATTAAAACCAACCTATAATGTGATTTCTAATTTCTTTTTGTTTAAAACCTTGAAACCTGAAAATTCCCAACACTGATGTAAACAGCTTGACTTTTCTAGTGAATGATTACCCAATACCCCATTTTGAAGCAATGTTTCTAGCTGTTTTATGGGAGCTGGTTCCCAGTCAGTTCAGCTGCTGCTTTCTGTCCTCAGCAAGCTGCCATTGGCCACCAGCCACCCTCTGTCAGGATGGTAAACAGAAGAGTTTAGCTAGGAGGTGACTTGTGTGAGACAAGGTCTTCTGTTGATATGGCTGGCTTAATACTTAGTATACAGCCCAGCCTGGTCCTAAACTTTTGCCTTACACACAAGACTAAAGATGTTAGACACCATGTCTGGACCTGAACCAGTCACTTAAGGTTCCTTCCTGTTAAGAGAAGCTTTTTCTTTGAGAGAAGCCTTCCCACCAGCTTGGTTCTAGATCCGCATCAGTCCCAAATAAACACACAGGAGGCTATATTAGTTATGAAGCTGTTGGCCTTGCTTGTCTCTTACTGGCTAGCTCTGCTTTAAGTAATTACCCCATAATTGTTAATCTAAGTATGTCTCTTACTGGAGAATAGTTCCGGGCTTCCTACCCCCATGGCATTACATCTTGACTCTCTTGTGTTTCTCCTTCCCAGAATCCTCCTGGATTCCTAGCCCCACCTATCTAGATTCCTATTGGCCAGCAGTGCTTTATTGACATATACACAGGACTTCCCCAACACCTTCCAAATGCATGATTCTTGGATTCTTGTGAAGTATAATGATGCATATAATTCTATTAACATTAGTCATAATTTATATGGTCTAATTTTTATTTGAAGTTACTTTTTATTGGAGTAGTCTTCAAAATTACAAAAGTGAATTTATATACTATTGTAGTTTTAGATTTTGTTTTGTTTTTGTTTTTTAAGATTAGGATAGCCTGGAGCTCCAATTGTAGACTGGGAATGGCGTGGAACTTGCATTAACCCTTCTGTCTCTTCTGCCCAAATTCGGGTGCTCATCACTTGTGTCACACCTGGTACAGATCTTTAAAATCACCAGAAACTATCTTCAGCTTTTTTGAGCCCCCCCTTTCCAAGGTATTTGCTCTGCCTGACTCAGCATAGTGGGAAAAACCATAAGTCACTTTTAAGAGGCCCTACTACCAAACAATTAAATGGTGTTTATGAGCAGCCAGTGGCATGTTTTTTTGGTAGTGACATGGACCTAGAAACTGCAGAGTTGCGGCAATAAGCATGACTCCACTTGTGCTATGTAACTGATAAGGCTTAGTGGTAGAATATTGTGACTACTTACAAAATACATTCCATTATTGACCTTTTCAGTTAAATGAAAAATTTTAATTAGCTTTTTCATTGTGAAAGTAGTGCTTAAAATTATTATAAATATGAATAATAAGGTTATAACGTTTTCTTTTCTTCTAGTCCTACTCTAAAGAGGTAGTCACTGACTGTGGGTGGTTTCCTCACCTCAACACTCAGGAAACAGGGGCATGAGGAGACTGTCTTTTTTTTTTTTTTTTTTTTTTTTTTTTGCCATGACAAAACATCATGACCAGGACACCATGTTAAAGAAAGCCTATAATTTGGGGGCTCATGATTCCAGAGGGTTAGAGTCCATGGCCATCATGGCAGAGAGCAGGCAGCAGGCAGCAGATATGGGGCTAGAACCATAGTTCAGAGCTTTTGTCTCATCCACAAGCAGGAAGCATTGAAAGAGTTAACTGGGAATAGTGTGAGCTTTGGAAACCTCAGAGTCAACCCCCAATGACACACCTCCTTTAATAAGGCCACACCTCCTAATCCTTCCCAAACAGTTACACTGACTGGGTACCAAACATCAAACATACATGCCTGTGGAGATCATTCTCATTCAAGCTACCACAGAGACCTTGGTTCAAAATGTTTTTAAAAAGTTGAAAAAACTAATGATTACAAGAAAAATTTCCTCCACACGTTGTGCACATCAGAGACTCTAATAATCTGTGACTTAGTTTCAGTATTTAACATGTCTGGAACATCTTTCTGTGCTAGACTTGATAGTTCTATAGTATTGTTTTGGATCCTTTTTGCTTCTGAGCACCTATCTTCCCAGCCCGCTAACCCACCTTTATTCTAGGAAGTACCTCTTTTCTTACTAAGTAAACTGCCTCTATATCTGGGTGAGTTGGGTTTTCTGTTTGCTTTGTTGTTTTTTATAGAGTAGATTCTCAGGATGCCATTTAAGTTAAATACATTTGGAAAGGTTCCCTTCATACATTTTTGCACATATCTCAGATATATTCTCAAAGCAAGATTTAGTGGTGACTGGAGATAAAACAGGGACTCCAGGAAGCTCTAGGGTCAGTCCCTGGGACCACATATAATCAATCAGGCATATCTGTTAACCTAGCACTTGGGGATGTATAGCTGGTGTTTGAGGTTATCATCATGTGCTCCAATGAGACCCTGCTTTTAAAAAATAAAAAAGATAGAATCTTATGTTTTGTGACTGATGATTGATATTTATATTAATGTTTAACCATCCCATTCAAAAGAGAATATGTGAAAAATGAAATAATATCCTATTTGACTTACTATTGTCTATATTTTTCTCTTGAAGTAGAATGGGATCCTTATATGTATAAAATATAATAGTTACATGGGACTTATTAGGGAATAAAAGGGAGAAGAGGGTCATTACAGGGCTCCTTAAGCATTATTAGTAACTGTCCTAGTTAGGGTCAATATTGCTGAGATGAAACACCATGACCAAAACCAAGTTGGGGAGGAAAGGGTTTATTTGGCTTACACTTCCCGAATCACTGTTCATCATTAAAGGAAGTCAGGACAGGAAAACATACAAAGCAGGGTCCTGGAGGCAGGAACTGATGCAGAAGCCATGGAGGGTGCTGCTTACTGACTTGCTCCCCATGACTCGCTCAGCCTGCTTTCTTATAGAACCCAGGACCAACAGCCAAGGGATAGCCCCACCCACCATAGGGTGGACCCTCCCCCATCAATCACCAATTAAGAAAATGTCCTACAGGCTTGCCTACAGTTTATCTTGTGGAGGCATGTTCTCAATTGAGGCTCAATCTTTTCTGATGACTCTAGCTTGTGTCAAGATGACACAAAACTGACCAGCACCGTCACTAAGTGCATTGATTGTCGGAAGATTGCTCGATTTTTTTAAGGCCCAATAAGAATGTTTACTTAGGGACAGCAGGACTGGCTCAGTGGTGACAGCATATGCTGCTCCTCCAGCACCCACATGGTGGCTTTCAGCTGTCAACTCCCTCAGGCTGGAAAAAGGATTCAGTGGTTACACTTGGGCTCACAGGACTGGGATTTGGTTTCCAGCACTCACAGAGCAGACCACAACCATCTATAACTCTGGCTCCAGGGAATCTGATGCCTTCTCCTGACCTCTGTGCTCCTGCATACATGGTGGCAACCCCATAAACATAAAATTAAAAATTCTTAAAAACAATTTTTAAAAAGAGAGTGTTTGTTCACATAAGTAATTAAGAAACCATTTGGCCGGACATGGTGGCACACATCTCTCCTCTTGCAATGCAAGCACTTTACTGACAGCTACCTCCCCAGCCTTCCTTTCATGAAAACGACACTTATTTATTTAGTTAGTTTTTTTTATTTGTATGCTTATCTATCTATCTATCTATCTATCTATCTATCTATCTATCTATCTATCTATCTAGGCAGGGTCCCACTATATAGCTGTGATTCGCTTGGAACTCACTATGAAGACCAGGCTGGCCTCAAATTCATAGAGATCTACCTCTGCTGAGATTAAAGATGTGTGGCACCACTCCCAACAAAATGTTTTGGGAATTTATTCATTTGGTTTTTTTTTCCCTCTGTTTTCTTTTCTCTCCCCCCCCCCCCCATACAAGAGGCTGTTTTTTATTAGGAATTGTAAGGTTTATTACATCTCTGCAAGATTTTTCCCCAGTTGCAACTTGCCCATCCATATCTTTTTTTTATTATTTAAATTAGAAACAAGGGCTGGAGAGATGGCTCAGAGGTTAAGAGCACTGACTGCTCTTCCAGAGGTCCTGAGTTCAATTCCCAGCAACCACATGGTGGCTCACAACCATCTGTAATGAGATCTGGTGCCCTCTTCTGGTATGTGCAGACATACATGGAGGAAGGATGTTGTATTCATTATAAATAAATCTTTTTTAAAAATAAATAAATTAGAAACAAGTTTGCTTAACGTCAATTCTAGCTCTCTCCCCCCCCAATCCTATCCCAACCCCCCACCCAAGGAGGGTGAGACCCTTCATGGGGGTTCTCCAAAGTCCTATTATCCAGGGCAGAGCCTAGGCCCTCCCCCATGTGTCCAGGCTGAGACAGCATTCCTTCACGTGGAATGGGCTCCCAAAATCCATCTGGATGCCAGGGATAAATGGTGATCTATTGCCCGAGGCCCCAAAGAATTCTGAGGCCTCCTCACTGACACCCACATTCAGGGTGTCTGGATCAGTCCCATGCTGGCCCCTCAACTATCAGTCTGGGGTCCATGAACTCCCTCATCTGTTTTTCAATATGGTTTCTCTATGTAGCCCTGGTTGTCCTGGAACTTACTCTATAGGCCAGTCAGGCCTCAAACTCAGAGATCCACCTGCCTCTGCCTCCCAAGTTCTGACATTAAAGGTTGGTTTTTTTTTAATTTACCTTTATTATTTTTAATTATGTATAGGTGTGTGTATGCACACAGGTATACACTCATGTGCGTGTGGGTCTGTGCATATGAGTGCATATACCTGCAGAGGCCAGAGGCATTTGATCTGCTGGAACTGGAGTTTCGTGTGGTTGTAAGCCACCTCAGGGGTGTTATGTTCAGAGTCACGCATACAGGTTTATCTTCAGGCAGTGCAGCCAAGGATCTCTGGTTTTCATCATGTCTCCTCTGAATTTCAGGCAGGTTGATGCT